TCTCCTGGAGCCTCACAACTGGCTCTGTCCTGGACTGATGGTTCTCTGCTTGTCTAGCCCATGAGTCTCATGCAGGGATCTGCTTTCAGCAGATCCTGGGGTTTCCTTTGCCTTTTGCCTATCTCAGCCTTCCTTTTTCCTGTATCTTCCCTTTTTTTGGGTCAATTTCCTCCTTTTGGTGAAGCACATCTTTAGTAGCTTCCTGAGAAAGAATGCACAGGACATACATTTTTTAAGACCTTGCATGCCTAAAAATGCTTTTACCCCCGCCTCATGTTTAAATGCAGTTGGGGTTTGAAAACAATTTTGTTCAGGTTTTTTAGGCTGTTTTTCCATTGCCTTTTAGATTCCAGAGTTGTTTTGGGTAGTTTGGAGCCAAATATTCTCTTACCACCACCCCCTTCCCCAAACTCACCCTCCCACAGATTTTTCAAGATTCTTTTTGTCATCAGTGCCTGAAATGTTACTGTGATATACACCCTTATATGGATCTGCTTCTATCCTGATTTTTACATGTTGGTTCTCCTATACTGGCCCTTTAATTTTTAATTTATTCTCTCTTATTTTTCATCCGCTTTATTTTTGCTGAAGTTTCTGGATGACTTACTCAATATGATCCTCTGGACCTTCTATTTAGTTTTTTAATTTTAGCTATCATAGCTTTAATTTGTTGTTTTCTACAAGTTCCTTTTTTAAAAAATATTATTTATTGCCTTATAGATGTAGTATCTCCTATCCCACTGATATTAGTGATAGTTCCTTTAAAAATATTTCTTTCTCCTTGCATAGTCTAGGTTTCAGCCAAGTAGTTTTTTTCTGTTTGTTTTGTTTCCTTTCATGATAGAGTCTTTCCTTACATGCTAGGTGATTCCTGATTGTTTAAGTGTATTTGAGAGTGGGACACTAAAGAGATGGGAGTTAGTTCAGCACACAGATGTGGGGCTGTGGGTGTGGCCTTCACTTTAGAGCCATCTGTCTTGGCTGTTTGCCTGGGGAACCCCTGATGTCAGTACTTTTAGATCCAGTTCCCTGAATGAGGAGGTTTCAGTCTCCTATTTGGAGACTAAGGCAGGATTGAGGGGTGTGTTAATCAAGCTTCTCCAGAGAAACAGAAATGATAGAAGATACAAGCACACACACACGTATATGTATATATATATATATGTGTATTTATGAAAAGAGTTGGCTCATGAGATTTTGGAAGCCTTGAAGTCCCATGATATACTGTTTGCAAGCTGGAGACCCAGAAAAACCAGTGGTGTGATTCAGTCCAAGTCCAGGAGTGTCAGTGTCCAGGGCAGGAAACAAGATGGATGTCCCAAATCAGAGAGATCTTGGATTCACCCTTCCTCTACCTTTTTGTTCTATTTGGGCCCTCAGTGGATTGAATGATGCTCACCCATATTGGGGAGGGCCATCTGCTTTACTCAGTTCACAAATTCAAATGCCAATCTCTTCCAGAAGCATCCTCACAAACACACCTGAAATAATGTTTACTAATTATCTGGGCATCCCTTAGCCCAGACAAGTCAACACATAAAATTAACCATCACAAGGGGCATGTGGGATGCCCCTTAATTTCTCTTTTTTTCAGTAGGATACCCCCCACTTTATGCTGTGCCTGGTGTTCTCCAGACCAGAGATCCTCTGTTTTACCCTCTCCAGAACATAGTTCTCTAGGCTCTGCAAGGTGGGAGAGGGCAGTTGCCTGGCGGAGCTCAGTAAAAGGGAGTATAAGAGCTTGATTCCTTTTTATTGCCAAATAGTATTCCATTGTGTGTATATATCACGTTTTGTTAAGTGTATAGTGATACAAGCTTACCTCAGGAAACAAGAAAAATCTCAAATATCACATTTTGTTTACCCATTCATCATTTGATGGACATTTGGGTTGTCTCCACTTTTTTGGTTATTATATATAATGCTGCTATGAAGATTCCTGTATAAATGTTTGTGTGAACATGTTTTTATTTTCCTTGGGTACATACCTAGGAGTGGAAACGCTGAATCATATGGCAACTCTGTGTTTACCTTTTTGAAGAGCTGCCAAACTGTTTTTCCAAAGTGGCTGCAACATTTTATATTCTCACCAACCATGTATGAGAGTTCTCATCTATCCATATCTTTGTCAACACTTGTTATTGTTTGTCTTTTGCCATCCTAATGGGTGTAAAGTGGTATATCATTGTGGTTTTGATTTGTATTTCCTTGATGACTAGTAATTTTGAGCATCTCTTTGTGTGTTTATTAGCCATTTGTATGTCTTCTTTGGAGAAATGTCTATTCAAATCCCTTGTTCATTTTTTTTTTTTTTTTTTTTTTTTTTTTGCGGTACTTGGGCCTCTCACTGTTGTGGCCTCTCCCGCTGCAGAGCACAGGCTCCGG